TTAAGGTCGCTGCGAAGGTCGTGCCTAGGAAGAGAGCCAAGGTCATGGCTGCCGCGGGGGCGTGCGCGCCGCCTGCGCCCGCCCCCGATCCCGCGCCTCCTCCTGCTGGCCCGGCCGCCGCCGCGGCCCCTGCCGATGCCGCGGCGGCCCCTGCCGTCGGCGGAGTCCACGGGGATGAGGGGTGGACTTATGTGAAGTTCGGTGATCTAGGTTCTTCTTGCTTTAAGCAGGGGCACTGCAACGCTCGCCGCGCGTGCCCCGCTCGCTTGGACAGCCCCCCTCGCAAGTGCCACCTTGACAGACAGACCAAGGCTGGCAAAAATGGTCAGGGGGGGGTCCTGGGGCCCCCTGCATTTTGGCCTGAGTTCCAGCAGGGCTACGATCGGGCCACCCACGCCTCGATTAAATCGAGGACGCCGGCGGCGCATCACCAGCCGTTCCCTGGGAGTTTGCCGAAGTGGCGCGCAGCGTCGAAAGTCGTGACGCGTCGCGCATGCCAGCTATCACTCAGGAGTGGTTATGCCTTCTTGTTCGGCCTGGCGTGCCCCCTGTTGGTCCGCAGCCCAGACGCTGGCGCCCTGTGGCGAACAGGTCCAATTCGCATACCTGGTGATTCAGCTCCCAGGGTATTCGCACGTTTGCAGCTTCCTGGCTGCCCCTGCAGCTTGCAGTCCCCACCCGCGGCCCTGCAGCACAGCTTCGGCGCAGCCGCTTCCCCCGACGGTAGGTCCTGCTTAGCTCCGCGCGCGCGCCGGCAATTAGTTCCGCTCGCAGCCCGAGCTGACTCGACTCGCCGCTGGCGCCTTCGCCTGCGGTTGCGGCCGAAAGCGGTACCAGCTATCAAATGGCCGTCGGCCCATCCCGTGACCGTGCTTGGGTTTTGGGTCGGAGTCCTCATGGAAGCTTCTTGGGGTCTCGAGAGGGCTCTCGGAGGCTTCCACGGGGCAGTTTAGGGGCCTCTTGGGGGCCTCCTCGGGGCTTCTTGGAGCCTCTTGGGGACCTCTTGGGGCCTCTTCAGAGCTTCCTGGGGGCCTCTTAGGTCATCCTGGGGGCCTTGGGGCCGAAAGCTCGAAATGTCAGTTCCGGTTCCCCGTCGGGGCCCCCTGTTGGGGCCGTCCTGGGGCTCTCTTGGGCTGTCCCGGGGGCCTCTTGGGCTGTCTTGGTGCCCTCTTGGGTCGTCTTGGAGCCCCTTTGGGGGCCTCCTAGGCCGTCTTGGTGCGATCTTTGGGGCTTCTTGGGTCGTTTTGGAGTGTCTGGGAGCCACAATGGCGAGAGCGTCATTATATATATATATATATATATATAAGGTAGAAACTCCATACATTTTGACTATTGGGGCCCTCTTGGGGGTGCTTTTGGAGGCCTCTTGGGGCGTTTTGGAGGCGTTTTGGGCAGTCTGGGGGCCACCTTGGGCGTCTTGGAGCGATCTGGAACCGTCTGGATGGGGCCGTCCTGGGGCTCTCTTGGATTGTTTTGGAACGCTCTTGGGTCGTCCCTGGGCCGTTCCAAACGTTGAGGGGGTTGAGGCCGGGGGGGGGCCGGCGGCAGAGCGGGGCCCCTCAGAGGGACTTTCAGGGGGGTTTTGACCAGGCACTGGCGAAGGGGGCCAAAGACTGCGCCACACACTTTGTCAGGGAGGTCTCGCACGGCCCGCGCCGCAGGGCGGGGGCGGCTGGATCGAGGACGCCGGCGGCGCATCGCCGGCCGCTCCTGGGGAGTTTGCCGAAGATCGCGCAGCATCGAAAGTCGTGACGTGGCGCGGCCCATCCCGCCACCGTGCTTGGTTGGGTTTTGGGTCGGAGTCCTCGTGGGCGCTTCTTGGGGTCTGGGAGTTTAGGGCCTCTTGAGGGCCTCCTGGGGGCTTCTTGTGAGCCTCTTGGGGGCCTCTTGGGGCCTCTGGGGGCTCTCTTGGAGCCTCCTGGGGGCCTCCTGGGGGCCTCTAAGAGCCCCCTGGGGGCCTCTTGGGACCGAAAGCTCAAAATGTTCATTCGGGTTCCCCTTCTGAACGCCCTCTTGGGGCCGTCCTGGGGCCTCTCTTAGGCCGTTCTGGGTGCCTCTTGGGCCGCCCGACACCCCCGGCGCCTCCCCCATCGCCCATCGCCCAACCCCGCCGCCACCACGCCTCCGCGGAGTCCAATGGAGGGATGGAGGGAGGTGTGGGAGAGGATGGGAGGGGGGAGGGGGAGTGGGTGGAGGTGGAGGTAGCGCGTTGGGTGGAGGGTGGAGGGTGGAGGAACATGTGATCTGACAGCGGGGGGCGGTTAGCTCTTGGATGGGCCCTCGGAGGCAACGACGATGCCGCGGCCAAGAAGAAGACGGCGCACGACCATGTCCTGGGGCTCGTCGCGCAGGCGGGCAGCGAGGCCAAGGCGAACGTCGTTGACCTTCCGGAGACGCACGTCGAGCCCGACGGCATGTTCGATCCGGCCGCGCCGTGCTTGATCGGGAACATCCCCGCGCCCATGGAGGTTCGCGGGCAGTGCATAGCCTACTTGGAGAGCTTCCCAGGCACGGGGGAGAAGGCCAAGAATCGCAGGGGCCAGAAAGCCCTCGCTCCAACTGCCGCCGAGGGCATGGAGAAAGTCCTGATGCCCCTCTTCCACGCGCCCCAGCGGGTGCTCTTGACCCCGGAGGAGATGAAGCCCGACTCGCTGCGGTGCGCCTTGATCCCGAGCATCTTCGTCGTGGACAAGAAGCTGGAGACCTCGGCCTTCGAGCTGGGGCAGTTGCCCGCGCTGAGGCCGTGCATCAGCGGCAGCGAGAAGCTCGTCGTGGTCAGCGGTGCCGCGGTCCACCAGTACTTGGACAGCCTGGGCAAGAAATGCGACGCGAAGCAGATCACGGGGTTCCTACGCGACATCACGGCCAAGGACCTCGAGGCCTTCGTCGCGCAGGGCCACGCCGTCTGGCATGGCAGGCAGGAGGCGGGCCAGGGCATATATTTGCCTCCGGGGCACCTCTCCTGGGAGCAGATTGGCGATTCGGACTTCGGCGGCGCCAAGGCCGTCCTGCTGCTCAACCAGAAAGAGGACGGCGCCAGCAAAGACACGGAGTCGCTGTTGTCGGACACGCGCAAGGTGCTGATGCAGCACTCGAGCGCGAACGCGCTGACGACGGCCGCCCGCGACGTCCTGTCGTCGAAGAAGGCGGCGCGAAGGCCCTGAGGGGCCGAGGGGCCGAGGGCCGAGGGGCCCAGGGTGCTCGCTTGAGGCTTGAAGAGATTGCGCGGCAATCTAGACGCTCAGCGAGAGTAGGTAGGTAGTAGGTAGTAGGTGGAGAACTGAAGGGATAGGGGATAGGGGGAGGGGGGGGGGGGAGAGGAAAGAGAGGAGGTGGAGTAGGATCAGAATGAGGAGACGAGAGGGATGAGTTGAGGAGGAGGAGGAGGAGGAGGGAGGAGGTGAGAGAGGCGAGGATGGAGAGAATGGATATGATGAGAATCTGCGAGGGGCGAGGAGGGCTGACGATGTCAGAAAAGGGGTGGGGGGGGGAAAGGGGGGCATGGGGCATGGGGCATGGGGTGACCTGGAGGAGGGAATGGGGGCAGCGGGCAGAGGGGGGAAACATATCGGAGTTTGGAGGGGAAGGGGAAGGGGACAAGGCTTCTGCGATCGGCGCCGCGCAGTCATGCAGGATTCGGAGCGCGGCGTGCTCTCGGCGAGGGGCGAGAAGAACGGTTACCTAGCCTGACGGCTGACGGTGGCGATCACGATGGCGATGTCGATGACGATGGTGATAACGACGATGATGATGATGATGATGATGATGATGATGATGAGGATGATGATGATTTTGCGATGAGGGTTGCGTCGTTGCGATTGTGGCGGCGACGGCGACGATGGCGAGGAGGAGGGGGGGCGGGATGAGGAGGAGGAGGAGGAGGAGGGAGAAGGTGGAGGGGGATAAAGAGGAGGATGGTCGGCAGGCCCAGCCCCCGGTCTGGCAGCGCGTCCTTCCGCCTGGGGGCGCGGTGGCGCGGGAGCAGGAGATGGGGGGGGGGGGGGGGATAGGAGAGATAGCAGAGATGATGCACAGGGCGGCAAGGCATCGGGTGGCGGGTGAGCACTGGGCATGGGCATGCGTTTTGTGGTTAGGCATTGCAGTTCAGTTCAGTAGCCTTGCGTCCGGACGGCGCGCGAGCAGGGTGAGACCGTGAGCATGGTTCTCAAATGTATGATCTCCTCTTTCACTCCCTCACTCCCTACCGTTATCTCCTCCCTCAATCCCCATTTCCTATTTCCTCTCTCTCATTATCGCCTCCCGTTATCTCCTCCCTCATATCTTCCTCACCCCTCTCTCGTTACCTCGCCCCGTTATCTCCAACTTCCCCTTGCCCACCCGTTCTCTCCTCCCTCGCTCCCTCCCTCATCCCCCCTTCCCCTGCCTCGTGCCTCCCCCCTCCTCCGTCCTCCGCCCCCCCCATCACCCCTCGCCCCTCATTCGTCTCCACCCTCCATCCCTCCATCTCTCGCGCCCTCCTTGCCGTCTCTCGATCCCACATTCTCCTATTATCCCCCCCCCCCCCATCCCCCCAGCGGAGATAAGAGAGATGTTTCTCCTTGAGCCCCGATGCGAACACGGGCACATACCTGTCTGTCTGCGAAGCTTACACCATTCAACTAGAGCCCTAAAGCCAAGCCTTACTACCTGAAATCCTAGCTCCGGTTCCAGTGTCCCGAATTGAAGATAAAAAATCAAACTCCTTCAAATCGAGGGTGATTTACAAGCTCATTACATTCTGGAAAATCAAATTCACTCGCATGCATAGAACATCTAGCCTCGAAGACCATAAGAACAGATACTACACTGATCTAGGAACGGAGGTGAGAGAAGGGATCAAGCCTTCGTGTAGTACACCATCGCGTACATCAAGCCGACGCACACGTACTGGTCGCAGACCCGACCGGTGTACAGCTCCAGCAAAAAAAAATGATATAGTAAATCTCTGAAGACTACCAAACCATTCTGAAATATCGCCGTAGAAGTAGATGTCGATCTGATTAGTACTTCATGTCCAATAAGTCGGTCTCGTCGAAGCTGGTCTGAGGTTCTATGATCGTACGCATGGTAATGAACTTGTTCTTGGGCACTGCTATCTTCCAAACTCCAGTCGTCATATGTGTCATGAGTAGCTTGAAGATGCCGCACTTAGTGAGTCCATCGACCAACATGACTTCCGTTGGAAGGTGAAGAAAATGTCGAATGCGTCCTGATCAACGTTCCTCACGCATGGACAACACCGCCAAACGATATCCCTTATCACTTGGCACGCCCTTGACTCCACAACACAACTGCCAGAAATCCATACAATCTGTGCAATGATCAACTCGAATCTGGTACAAACTCCGATCGAAAATCTCCATCATGTCAGCTGCCTTGTGCTGAACGCCCGTGCATGTGATGATCTCCGTAAGTCGAAGTGCGATGAACTGAGCGCTTTGATTAACTTTGTAGCCCGCGTTGGTCTCTGCATGACACGTCGAGTGTGATATCCGCTTTGCTTTACCTGATGCCAAAGATAACGAATGACAACTACCACCAATCATATAAGCGTCGTCTGGATGAACCTGATCTTTCTTGACTCGCAGCTCGTGCATGCGGTCTTCCATTAAGCATACTGCCGTGCCCTCTTGAGGGTAAGAGGTCTTAGTACCACCGTGGCTTGCATCGCCGATCGAAACCAACCGTACTGGATAACTGAGCGGTGCAAAGTGAAGTCCTGCCATCTTCTTGTTACGCTGAGCTCGATCGATCAGGAGGTTCGCCTGCTTGAGATGACCAATGTTGGCCTTGCGCGCTTGCTGTTGCAACTGCACTACCTCACAGTAGATGTCCTCGCGCGTCTGACACAGCCACAATAAACTGCAAAGCGCGCTCCTCAAGTCATGTTGCTGCTTGTGGTTGCACTCCTTTTCCGTCTTGTCCTTCAGAGCCGGCTCAATGAAGATCTTCTTCAGCGAGTCCGTGAAGCTCTCCTGGTGGATGAACAAATGCCTGGGCTGTAACTGCTCGTAGCTCATGCCCATGTGAGTGAACGGTAGCTGATGGCGTTTGATTTCCCCAAAGCGCTTCTCCATCTCAGCCAAGCTCCAACATAGATAGGCCGTCGTTGCCAGAACTATGATATCGTCCACGTGCACAGTCCAGACCATCATGATGGTGCCTTCCTTGATCCACATGAAGAAGTTATCGTCGAATACTGATTGGATGCCGGAGAGATCTTCCATCACGAACAATGACAACGCCAACTGCCATAGAAGTGGAGCGTCCACCGTGCCGTAGATGGGCTTCAACAGCTGAAGTAGAAAGAATGGTACCTCAAGCTCTGGAATCCTGATGTTGGACTTGGGGTAGTCTCTGAAGTGACGCCAGACATTGGCCGGCGGCTTGAGATATACTTTCCGCTGTTCTCTGACTTCGATGCCCATGCGCTTAGCATTCCGACGCAAGGTCTCATAGGATAGTCCCTGCAAGAATGCCGTTGAGATGTCCCACGTCTCCAGGATCAAGTCCTTCTCAAGTGAGAAGAGTGAGGCGATGATCCTCTGAGAAAGCCTGGAAGCCGTCGAGGAGTGCCTCATCACATCGTTCTTCTGTGCGTCGAGGAAGCCCCTGCCGCAAAGGCGAGACTTAATGATCCAGGAGATTTCGTTCTTGTCATCGTAGACCTTCTTCCAACGTCTGACCCACGTAGCGTCAGTGATATTGTTGGTGTCCAGGCTGTTCTGGTGAGCCGCACGAAAGCACAAGTTGTCAATAAATGATCTAGCTTCGGCCCTATCAGCTGCTTCAACTTTGTCCCAGTGTGCGACAATGTCTGCTTCCGTGAGAACGTCATCCGATTGAGCATATATAGCTTCACTAGTCAAGAGATCAAAATAAAAGGTACGATCTTCTTTGAACGGGCCTGGTATGACCCAGTGTGCTTCTGATGATGTCCAGGTCGTCGTCTTGTTCTGCATCCGTCGTAGGTTCTCTGAGACTTCCTGGGCCATGTTCATCATGATGTGCTGGTACTCGTCCAACTCCTCAGTAGCCATGCACGCACTGATCAAGTGTCGGTCCTGAACGTGAGCCATGCCGATCTGTTGGTCACCGAAAGCCAGGAAACCTTCAAGCAACTTCGCTCTCTTCGTGTCCGTCAACGGTGGAGGTGATGAAGGTGCCGATTGTCCGCCGCTCGCACATTCCTTGAGTGGCAGTGGCCTCTTGCCGGTGTCGGGAGGAGGCTCTGATGAAGATCGGAGTCGAACTCTCTTATTGTCAGGAGGATGTGATGGTGACAGCTTCTGACCAGTGATCCTGATGCCGTCGTCATGACTGAGATCGTGCTTCTTCGAGGTCTGCGGAACCTTCTCAGGTGATGGTTTCACCTCGTCGTATTTCTTGGGCGAGCCGTAGTCGACCGTTGGTGCTGGTGATGCTGCGCCCTCAGGAATTTCATCGTATTCAACCGTGCTCTTGTCGGGAGCATGATCGTACTCGATGGTGTCCTTGTCGGCTTCAGGAGTGTCGATCCTCACGGGAGTTGGTTCCTTCTTATCGTGGATATTCGTAGTCAGTGCCGGTGAGCTCGTCTTAGCCGGGCTGCTCGATGATGTAGGAGCTGCCGCGGTGGACTCAGTCGGTGGCACTGCCGTAGTAGGAGTCTTGGATGAAGTAGGAGCTGGAGGATGAGAAGTAGGAGGTAATGATGTCGTGGATGTTCGTGGTCCTGCTGCCTGGCTCGATATGCCAGGTGCGTTTCGCTGCCGAGGTGGTGACCTGCTGAGCTCCTGTCGTTCAATCTTCTGCCGCCACGTCTTAGGAATAGAAGTTGGCGCTGGAGCTGGTGCCTCTATGGGTGATGATGCCATCGGAGTAGGTGTCTGAATCTTTGGTACCACGATTGGTGTAGCCGCCTTTGGTACTGGATGAGCTGGAGGTGGTGCCGGAGGTAATCCAGAAGATCCGCCAGTACCGCCAATCTCTTCCATGCTGTGGTCGTCTATGTCGAAGGGTACCGCTTGATCCACTTCGGGTTCTCGAATCCGAATCCTCGAAGCCGTTGGAGGCGCAGGAGGTGCCGGAGGAAATGGAGGTCGTGGTGGCATGAGTTGTGAGGGGCTGCTGATGCTGTCACCTTCTTCTTGCCACGTCATGTCCCGATCGCTGATATCAAACCTCTCTGGGCTCACTCGCACTGCAGGTGGAGCTGGAGGAGCTGGAGGCGGACCTGGAGGTCCATCCGCTGCTGGTTGAGCAACTCCGGGTGATGTTGGGCTCGACGACGGTCCAGGTTGGACAGCGGGAGCCGGTGCATCAGGTGGTGCTCCTCAGTCTTCTGGTGGACTGAGGCCACTGAAGAGGAATATCAATATCTGGTGAGCCCTCGTCGGGATCGTAGCCAATACTGCTGATGTCGGAGAGGTCTGGCAGGATGTACTTCTTGGTCTCGGCGTCTTCCGAAGCTGCGTTGAACGTGTAAAACACAATACTGCATGCGTCGGTGTCCCTCATGCCTGGGATCGTAGTCAAGATGTTAAGTACTTGCCTGCTGGGGTTGATATCGCGCGTGACGTACTGAGATCGCTTGGTGCAGTCCCAAACTATTTGTCGACCGAATGATGCGCCACTGACCTCATAGAGCCGTCTAACGCACCTGCCGTATATGATGCCGTCGATCTTAATGCCCCACTCGTTCTCCGCACACTGTACTGCCTGCTGCCAAAGCTTAGGAGGGTTCTGAGATAGATCCGCTGGCGTCTGATGCTGAAGACCGTCCTTTCCAATAATATTGCCCATGATCTGAGGTTTGAACGGTATCGTGCCCTCGATGATGTCAAGCATGTCCACATAGTCGCTCACCAAATGTACCATCTCACAGGTTGTCATGTGCTGCTTCAAAACGCTAGTGACCCAGCCGGTGAGTGGTTGATGCAATCGTATGTGTCGTAGGGGTACGATGTACGGGTAGCCGTTCCAGACCACGATCGCGCCAGTCGACTTCAGGTGGAGAAGCTCACAGGGTCCTTTCCAGCCTTCTTGATCTTTCTTGTCGGGAGTACGGTAAAGATCCACTTGATCTCCAACCTTGATCTTCTCAGTGTCCAGTCGTTGGGGTCGAGACCTGTTGGCAACCGCGATGCGCTCCTCAACGATCGCTTTCAGAACATTCTGGTTCGATCGCAATCTCATCCTGATGTTCGACTCGAAAGTGTCGGGCGAGATCTCGAGCGCACCTCTGGCGGATGTAACAGTGGAGGCCTGGCCATCGTAGAAGTCCCGGGGAGTGAATCCGAGCAGCGCGTTGGCCGGCGTGCTGCCGCCGTAGTTGAGCAACAGGTTTTGTGACATGGTGGCCTCGTAAATCAGCGTCTCGTCAGAAACCTCAAGACCGTCTCGTTTAGCGTCCACTTTGTTTTTGAGTGCAATAGCCTTGGTCATGCGAATATGACTTTCCACGAGACCGGTTGTCGTGTGCTGCCCCTTGTTCGGGTCGGTACCTGCAAATTCGCGCTGAATCGAATATCTGTCCAAAGCTGTTCCCGCCAAGTCACTTGTCAACGATCCTTCCTGATCCGAAACGAAACGTTCCATTGGTCCGAAAAATCTGACCCAATGCTCGCAAAGTCCTCGTAGATATTCCACTCCAGTCTTCGAGCCGAGCTTGCCCGTCGTTTTGTAGCGAATGTGTTCGTCGACGAGAATGAGCCATATCTGATCCCAAAGAAAGAACAAATCGCCCTGAACTCGCTCGTTAAATCTCGTCGTGAGGTGTGCTCGAAAGGCTGGTCGATGTAGTGGAAGAGTGAATTTACGACAAGAACCGCATAGATCAGTACAAACTCGAGGCGCCAATTTGATAATCTCTGGAGATACCCCAAGTGCTGATAACAATCGTGCCATCTCATCTGCCGTTGCGTGCCAGAACTTAATGTGAAATCCCAACAGGAGAGCCAACCTTGCCTGCTCTGTGGCCGCCTCCTCGAGTTGATGCTTGAAACGCTGCAAATCGAAGTTGGGCTTGATGGCCAACATCTTAGATGGATTATCTTTTGAGATGCTGGGCTGGTCCGTGGTATCGTCCTCGCAACTCGCTTTGTCCTTTTTGACCTACTCAGGTGGAGCCAGTCCAGGAGGTAGCTCAAGTGGAGCCTTCACTGCTGGTTCTGACTGAGGTGGCTGTTGAGGTACTGCGTCTTGCTGTACTGTTTCTGGTTATGGTGCTGCTGCTGCTGGCGCTGGTGGTGCCGGTGCTGATGGAGCGGATGACGATCCAGGTCCTGCTGCCGGTGGAACTCTTTGAGGATCGAACCTGCAACCTTTCGTCCGCGTATGTGGTCCAGTAGCTTTGTTGCCGTTCTTACAGCGATCGCAAGTCCAATACGACAAGTCCAATGGGCTGGTAAGACCGCGCTCCAATCGCCGAAGTATATCCCTGAGGAGATTCTTGCACAACTTTTCAGGATACATTTTTGACCTCGTTGTCTGAGCACCGCCAACTAGCCAAGCATGGGGTCGTACACATCTGCATGTCTGTGCTGTTCGCTTGAGACGGAACGATGCTGCAAACTTAGTTCGTTTCTGAATAGGCGTGCCCTCTGAATCTTGAAGTCCGTGTTGACATTGGTCGCATATATTCTGATAAAGCCTGTCATCGTCCATTAGATCCTTGAGTGGGGATTCATCCCAAATACAACTCTTGCCAGGGTTCTCGATGATGTAGTCTGTCGAGTCCTCCTTCGAGCGCTTGCACGTGTCGGCGGTCCACTGTAGTGATGACTTGTCCGTGATCCTCGCCAGAGCTTTTACTTTGGGGTCCGCCGTCGTGCTAGCCACTGACCAGGGTGTACACTGTGGTGAAAAGAACTTCAACCAAACTCTCAAGGACTTGAAAAAGGTGTCGATGATCTGCTGATGCTCAACAAGATTCAAATTCCAACCGTACCGCATGTCCGTCGGGAAGAGAGCCGATACCTCACTGCGATAAGCCCAGTAGCTGAGAGTGCTGCTGCCACTGAAATGCTCCTGCATGTCCACGCTCGTGATTCCATTGTCCTTCAGATGCTTGAGAAACTGGAGAGCATTCTTCGGAGTGATGACCGGCAGTTTGGTACGACTGTAAAACTTCGCAGGAACGCCTTGATAATTCTTCCGAAATCGTTCAAGCTGGGTATCATCAAGTCCATCTGCAAACCTGTCGCCAGTATACTGTGCCCCTTTGAATTGACTCCAAACCTTCCAGAATTGCTGAGTCTTTGTGAAGTGCTTCTTTCTAGACATGTAGTCGGCCATGGATGCTTCAGGAGGTGGTGGAACTTCTGACGATTCAACGTTCTCGGTGGCCAGGAAGCTGCCGATGCCGTCGCCATTGGGATTGATCTGCTGCTGGAGGTTTTGAATGCTGCTGGTCAAATTCTGGAGCTGACTGATGATCTCCTGCTTGTCGCCTGAAACATAATTGTTACCGGTGCCAGTGTCCAAGGGTGTAGCTTCTTGATGAAAGTCCGATGTCGGAGATCTGGATGATAATGTCGAAGGTTTGAAGCTGGTGAACCAGTTAACGTGATTCATGACGTGATCGTGTAGGTACTGCTGATCCACTTCTTCCTTCGTCGAAGCGTTGTCGATAGGAACCGTGAATAGTAGTCTGATGTATATCGGTGCAGGTTTCCGTTTGCCGTCCATCTGTGCCAGAGTCTGTGGAAACAATGCCAGGATGCCATCTCCATTCGGAAACACGTTACTGAACATCACTGCTCGATACCTCATCGAAGTAGAGAGAGGAAGAAGACCAGGACAGAAACTGCCGTGATTTCCGATCATATCGCCCGTGAAGGTGGCTCCCTTGAGAGCCGGAATCATAAGTGGTAGAACGATCTTGCCGATGCCTGGAGTGGGTTTACCATCGATGCCAGTGAACTTTGACTTCGTCGGTCGCGTCTCTATGTCCATCCTGGGGATGATATCTCGGTGATACTCTCTGACTGTGTCGGTGCCGATGATACCTGATGCTGCTCCAGGGTCGTACAATAGTCCATATCTTTTGCGTCCTCTCACCATGTGGTAGCTGCTTGAGTCCAAATCCTGTTTTGGGTACTGACCATGATCTGAATTGCCCATGTCTCTGACAAGAAATTCCAGACCGCCAGGTACCACGCCACGTCGAACCACTGGTGCGCCGTCCGATGGTTCCTGTTGAGTCGGGGTGTCTTCTTCATTCAGGAAACTCAAGCTTGGTGTCCACGAGGCCTGCCTATCTGATGAAGTAGGGCCACTCGGTGATGATCTCTTCGTGTTTGCCATCGGAGCTCTCGGGATATTATCCACATCGTAGGCGTCCAGGAAACTCTTCGGTGGTGTAGTTGCTTCAGCTTCGTCAAGATCGTGCGACTGGGTGGTCTGCAGAGATGACCGCGAGGATGCTGCTCCTCTAGATATTGGGGTATCGCCATCTTCGAAGTGCAAGAAGCCGTGATTGCCAATGTCCGTCTTGTGAACTCGCTGCTTCGAGGTCTGCGCGTCCGCATCTGCAGGATACCAATTTCCAGTACTGTCGAGACCCCACCAGCCATCTTCGTAGTCGTAGTACTCGTCATCGTAGTCGTCCTCGTAGTGCTCACGACGCTTGCCTTTACTTCTGCCTTTTCCTTTTCTGCTCTTGCCGCGTCCTTTGCCTCGACCGCGAGATTTCCCATAGCCTTTGCCACGATCATAACTGCTGCTCTTGCCCTTGCCGTTGCCGCGTCCTCTGCCCTTGCTCTTGCTCTTGTCCTTGCCGTGCGAGTCGTTCTGGTCCTTCTGAGCGTCTTTGTCTTTGTCCTTGCCAGCCGGACAGTCCGCCGGGTTATGCCACTTGGAACCGCACTTGCTGCAATTGCCAGGGTTATTCTTTTTGCCTGAACCTTTGTAGGCGTCGCCGTCTTGATCATAAGAGTCATCATATTCGTACTCTTCCTCGCCCCAGTACTCATCCTCATAGTAATGCCAATAACCCTGCCTGTCATAATATCATTCATCGTACTCCTCGTAGTCGTCGTCCGAGTCGACCCAGTAGCCGTCGCACTGCTCGGGGTTATTCTGAGCCTGGTTCTGTTTTGCGAGCCGAGAAAAAATAGCCTTGATCTCTCCATATCTGTTGAGGTCACCATCAATCTTGAGCTTGATGTCTTCGATTCGTTTGCTTGGTAAATCACAACCTGCCAACGTCAGATAGCTTCTGCCAACAGAGTTGATGGTCAATCCAGCCTGATCATGTGCTTCGTCATACACAAGTTCAAAATCTGAGATATATTGGAGAAGATCACGAGGCCCACGCTTATAACTGAAAAACTTGTCAAGGGAAATGCCGACTGAATCCTGCTCATTAAGACCATACTCTGCCGTGAGCCATCGCGTAAATCATGATAATCTTGATGGTTGAGCTTGGATACCGAGGCCCCCGTCTTCTGCAATTCTTGTGAGAGCGAAAGCGTTTTCACCAACATATTCAATTCCATCTCGTATAACTTTGAATCGCATAGCCTGCTTCAAGGCTCCGCCTTGTAGGCGCTGCAATACTAGTAGCGCTGCCACGCTCTCGTCCTCGATATTCTTCGTCCTCCACCACAAACTCAACTTCTGAAGATATTTCCTGATGCCATGCTTTGCGATGCCCGGCTTCCAGCCGGGTGGAGTCTGACGCGTAGCTTCTTCAAGGGGTTGTTGTCCACCAATGAAGTCTCTAGCCATTGTGATGAACGTGTCCTGTATTCTTTACCAATATCCGTATTCTTTACCAGTCAATGTCCGCATTCTTTACCAACCAATGTCGTCCGTATTCTTGACCAGTCAATGTCCGTATTCTTTACCAATCAATGTCCGTAGTCTTTACCAGTCAATATCCGTATTCTTTACCGATCAATGTACGTATTCTTTACCAGTCAATGTCCGTATTCTTTACCAGGTGTAATCTTGTCGCCAGGCCAGTAGGCGTTGACGATGCTGAGGGAGAGGTAGCTGTAGAACTTATAGTTCTGTCGAGCACCGAGCTGTCAGTGCGGCTTACCTTCACGAGGTAAGCGTACAGAAACTCGTAGTTCTTGCTCAGCTGGTCGTACTTCAGCTTCACGATGTGATATCGCTGCCGGGCCTGGCGGGGGCCGCGCGCGCCGCCCCGAGAGGCGGCTCCGCTACCAGAGCGGAGATAAGAGAGATGTTTCTCCTTGAGCCCCGATGCGAATGCGGGCACATACCTGTCTGTCTGCGAAGCTTACACCATTCAACTAGAGCCCTAAAGCCAAGCCTTACTACCTGAAATCCTAGCCCCCCTCCCCCCTCCCCCCTCGCCCCCCCCCCTCCCCCCCCTCCCTCCCCCGTCCTTCATCCTTCCTTCCTCATCCCTCCCTCGTTCCTCCTCCCTCCTCCCTTCCCCGTCCCACGTCCCACTTTCGTACCTCGCTGCTCTCTCCTTCCTCTCCCCCCACTTCGCCGCCGCCAGGCCTGCGGCTGGCGGGCGGCGGCGCGGCGGCCGCGGCGACCGCGGGCCGCGGCCCGCGACGGGCCGAGAGGGCGCGGCCCGCGGAGGAGGAGGAGGAGGAGGAGGGAGGGGGAGGAGGAGGGAGGAGGGAGGACGGGGATACGGAGGAGCAGGAAAATGATGAGGAAACCGGAAGAAGGCAAGGAGAAGGAATCAGAGGACGACGGAGGGGAAGAGGATGAAACGGGGAACGAAAGTCGAAGAGGACGACGGCGACGACGAGGACGGCGGCGACGACGACGACGACAAGACGACGACGACGACGCCGGCGGCGTCGGCTTTTGGGGCGGCCCTGGCCCCTGGCACCCCCCGCGGGCCCGCGGGTCGTCGTCGTCGTCGTGGTCGTCGTCGTCGTCGTCGTCGCCGCCGGCGCCGCCGCCGCCGCCGCCGGCGTCGCCGTCGCCGTCGTCGTCGCCGTCGTCGTGGAGGGGAAGAGGATGAAACGGGAAACGATGATGAAACGGGGAAGAAGGAAGAGGCTCGAGGGGGGGTGGACTGTGGATGGTGACGGAAAAGGAGCGTCCTAGCTGGTTTCGTCGTTTTCGGCGTCAGCGTCTCCGGCAGCGGCGGCGCCAGACCCCCCCCTGGAGCTCAAATGCAAAATTGCATGATGCGCAGACCCCCCCCCCCTGGAAGTCAAATGAAAATTGCATGGCGCGCAGACCCCCCCCCCCCCCCACACGCCCAAGACCTCAAACGTATCCGTCTTCATGTCTGAACCAAGAGATCTGCATTCCCAAGTCGACCAGAACACCTTTACTACCTCCTGGATCATGTGGCCCGCCTGGGCCCTGAGGTTCACCACGGCCACCTCCGCCATCTGAGGATCCCGGCCCCCCCGGACTCCCTGGAGGCGGTTTATTTGGTCGTTTAGCGTTATCGTCGTCGCGCGTCGACATGATCTCAGTACTCGGCGCGTCGCTCTGGTCATCCCCCTCTTCGCCCTGCCCTGCCCCGCCAGATGGCTTAGCCGCTGGCGGCCTCGCAGGTCCATCCCTGGGAAATGGATTATACTTGGCAAAACGGTCGTCGTCGTTGGATTCTGTCAATTTCATGTTGATTGGCAAACTACTTTCAGAGGTACTCGGCATAGCAGGACCTTCGAGAGCAGGACCAGGGACGGCAAAGTTGGGTCGCATCATAGACCTCACAGGAGTTTCCTGCGAAAGTAATGGCATCTCGAATGAACTTAAGGTGGGCGCTTTTCTTGTCCTTTTTCACTGTGCGGAAATGGATTTGCGATGATAGCTTTAAGCTTCATCACTCCTTTCTCTGATCCAGCTGCATTTGTTATGGCCTCACCTTTCTCTCGGATGTTAGCGGCTGACCTTTCTGAACTCATTCCAATATGTTCCCCAGCCTTCTCCGTCGTTCGTTGACATATGTCGACGCTATATTCATCGAGGAGCTGTTGCTGTTGTTCCCGAAATTCGCGATTGATGCTGCGTTGATTACACTGCTCATTCCACTTCTAGTTCCGCCGGCAAATTCTTCTGTTGAGTGCATGTAGAACATCGTTTGGTGTTCGCGGCGAAATAATATTTGCAGGCCGGCAATCCACAAGTAGCGCAATCGTCTGTTTTCGGGTTGAAGCAAACTGAGCAACTCTCTTCCGCGCCCCGTTTCGCAGACTGCGGCTGCGGCGCAGCTCTCACCTGCAACGTCGACGATCCCGCATTCGTTACGGTCATCAAGTCAGACTGAGGCGGAACGGACGCTGCGCCAGACGGCTGAGCCGTTGGCGATGGTCGTCTGTCCGTCCCAGCCGGCTTAGCCGGCGGGCACGTGTCATTGCTCGACTGCATACGCTGGAGGGATGCTCTAGCGTCTTCATGCGACTTGAGTTCTTCTCGATATTGATTGTTTTGATCAGCCGTCTTCGCAGCTACAACTGGGGTGTTAACCACTTCCAGCCTGGCGTTTTGAAGCTTGTCTTGAAGCTCTTGTTTTTCTCGTTCTGCCCTGGCTGTAGCGATTTTCTTTCCTTCTACTCTAGCCGCTGCAACGGCGGCGGAGACGGTTTTGGCATCGACAGACTGACTAGTCGCCGCCGCGACGGCCTGTCGTTCGGAAGCCAGCATCTCGACATATCGGTTCTCGGCTTCTTTCTCCGCCTGCCACTTAGCGACCGCGGTCTGATAGCGCACCTGCCCCACCAACTCTCGTTCCCGCTCTCTGGCAGCCTTGGCCAGGGCGAGCCTTTCAGCCTCGAACGTCATCTGAACATCTTCAATGGTTGCAGTCATCTCCTCTCGATCCAGTCGAGCCTTTTCGGCCCGCTGCGCTTGGCTTGCCAGGCGCGCCTGCTGAGTCTTAGCTTCAACAAGTCTAGCCTGATCCTGAATAGCTAGTATGAGAAGATATGTGCAGTTATGCTCGCTCATAGGAAAGCAATCTACACACAACCATTGGTTGCTGCATTTGGGGCATGCATCCGAGCAACTTTTACATGCGGGACGCATGCACGCACCCTCTGGCTTGCGGGCTTTCCCCGGGCATCTGCTCTCCGCCTGAGGCGCAGAGTCAGAGTTCCAGTTCCAGCATGCATCAGGCATGGATGTAGTGCCGTTGCTCCTTGAAGCAGATCGCGCTCCTGATCTCGGCATTTTGGGCATTCCCCTACTCGAAGCGTTTGATCGAGGACGCACGCACGTGCATTCTGGGGGTCCCGGTACCTCCCGAAGCCCCTCATCCCTTTCATCCTGTCTCATTAGCTCAGTGCACGAAGCTGGTTGTTCAACCGTTTCTTCATCCTCAACAACAGCCGGTGTCGATGGTTGCCAATCGCCTGAGGCGACGGCGGAACGATAGAAACCTTCTTTAAGCGGTGAGTCGTTCAAATCGTAATCCTCGTTCCTCTGCTTTTTGAGCTGAGGTGCAGGAGTCCGCCCTGTGGACCCCCTATCGTGCTTCGCCTGAGATTGATGTTCGACATCAGCCTTGTCCGCCTGAGGCGCCAGGTCACTTGTATCTTCATCTGAACCATCTGGAGACCACCTCTCGCCTTGGGCGGGGTGGTCTGCGTCCATTAACGAGGACAGTTCTCGGCTCAAGGAAACTCCTTTGTTGGCATATTCAAAATCTTCCTCCATGGAATTTATTTCATGCTCTCTATCGATTAGCTCACCACTATCTTGTCCGAACTGTCCTTTCAATGCTATCGGGATGGGATGGTTTCCACTCGTGCCTCCCCACCCGCCTGGGACGTTGGGGTGTACGCCTGTGGAATCATGAGCTTCTCCCGACTCACTGGCTTCACCAGCGGCCGGTACGAATGTATGTGCAGCAATCGGAATAGGACTTATTGACTCCGATGATTCGGCGATCAGAGACGAGAATGCTCCTCGTCTGGATCTCGCTGTTGCGCCATTCCGCCCGTGCGGGTCT